TTTTTGATCCTTCCGTATCTTGTATTCCATTAGCTGCTAGGAATTGCTCGAGCCTCTCCTGGTAAATGGTCCAATCCTGCCCTGCATGATTGAATCGCTCGATCACTCCAATTAAAGCCGCCATTTTCAATAAAACACAAATATCGTTTATAATAAACTTCCGCCACTGGTTAGTTCACACCCGCTGTATTAAATGTTCGTATTTAACACACTGCCACTTTATCTCGTCGCCAATGTTATGTATTAATCTTTGATCCGGACCGAATAAGAATAAAACTCAGATGGATTTTCAGTTTATTATCGTGATGCTTGCGATACAAGATGCTGTATATGAATGTTGAATTTTCTAAGGACCCTTCGGTAACTAACAGAAGGTTTACCGCCCCTACGTAACTTGATACATTCTATGTAAAACATATGGTTTGCCGCCTCGTAACTCGATACATTGCGAGGAACGGTCAGAAACCCATACTTCACATTTATTTACAAATGTTTGTTGGTGTTTGTTGGCGATATTTTCTCCTTTGTTTGTTTTTGTAATTATTAAAGAAAAGCTAAGTTTGAGCGTGAAGTTGGATCCTGTTATTATAATTTTTAATCTGTAATAGTTTAATAGTTTGTTGGTAATTGTTGGCTATATGGCCTAATAATAAGTAGCTGGTAGTCAGTGATGCTCATCGAGAAATTGAGTTTTTAGGTCTATGTTCAAAGTCATTTATATAAACTACCTATTTTACGATAATTGACGGATGCAATCGATCGGAGTTTATATATTCCATAAAAGATTTTCTTTCCTTGTCTTTAATAATTACTTCACACTAAACTTCGATTGATTTCATCCGTGAATTTTCGTATTATACTTTGTATACACGACTTTAAACATAGACCCCAAAACGCAATTTCTTGATCATTATCACTGCCCACCAGCGCAATAGATAAAACCCGAGAATCTCATTTTGAATCATTAACAATGAATAATAATCGTTCTTTGAAAGAGTAACGTAACAACTTGGTAATTAGGTCTGTACAGAGAAACATCAAAGGGTTGTATTGACAATATAGGAAAAAAACCGAAATAGCAAAACCCACCGAAATTTCTCAAAAAGCTAAAATAAGGAATAGTGATTACAGTTGTAATAGTATTATGCACCTTCAGATTCTTCTTCCCCAGACATATTCGTCCACGGAATAGTAGTCGACGGAAACTTTTCTCCCAAAGAAGCTGACAGCAAGTGCTCCATGGTCACGTTCTCGCTTCCGGGATCAGACCGTTTTTTCAACCAGATATACGACTGTTATATGACTTGTTATTTTATATTAATTGAATCTTACAGAATTTGGCAACTGGTTTCTGGGGCACATATTTTAATCCCCGAAAAATTCTGGCATTAGAACGTATATTTAGTTCTAAACGTGCTCTTAACAATCGGGTAATATTTCCAAAAACTACACTCTTCTAGAGAAGAAGAAAAAACGCCTTGCCAGAGATTCTTGAAATGTTAATGCTCCCTTATTGTAGATGGAGCTTGGGGTAAACTTTCCAATGAAATAAGCTATAATGCTTTATATAGAGTGGTCAGTAAATCCATCAAACAAATAATATAATAAATAACGAGGCATGGCATTATAGGGGCCTAAACCAAGAAATTGCTATACTCGGACATAAAAAATAAATATTGCTATTTTTGGGCGAGAGTAAATTATTCCGAATTTCCTCATCACAACCATAAATGCTATAATAATTGAGTTTTTACACTCAGGTGCAAAAAAAGTGTCCAACTAATCGTTTCAAGCGAGTTTCAAAGCATACACAAAAATATACTCTAATTATTTATGTGTAGTTTTCCCAATTTAATAAACATCTAAAAAAAACCAAGAAAAACAATGAAGTACCTACTATGGAGCTTTTTCCTCTCTTTATACCAGCCCCGCCCCGACACATACCTATGTATTGGACCTAAACACAATTTTCTGAATTAGAATTTATTATACTATTATAAATTTAACGAATAATTATAAAATAAACAAATAGGAAAAGTTTTGGTCCAATACATATGCGTCTGGGCTTGCATTTGTTTAAATGGAGTTCATTAATTAACTACTGAGTAATATAAGTGGAAACTTCCTTGTAAAAGGATTTCGCATGTCTGTACAAGTAACACGGGCTCATTTATGGAATAATTATAAGGGACAACAACAGTAGCACATACCTGAAGCTAATTGAAACTGCGCTATATGCAACCAACTTTGTCAGAGAAAATCCATTTGCGTCTAAATGCAACACGTAACGTTGTGATACAAAATGACGCCATGAAAAAAATCATAAAATAAACTTAAATGCAAATGCAAATACGTTTTTTTTCATGGAACTTTAAGAAAATTATGAAACCGTTAATCATGATAATCACCCAATAAAAACAAAAGGTTGGATGGCACCGACTTGCTGATAAATAAAATAAATAAATAAAAACTGACATCTTAAATAAAGTCTCTATTACTACATACTAGCAAGTACAATGTACGTACAATGTGACCAAAAGGAATATATGCTACATGTACCTACAAAGGGTGGAATACACGTGGAAATTATTAAAAAGGTAAATATCAATGCGCAATTTTATGGTTTTCATCATTTATTTAGATATGTTATTATTTTATTTTGGAAACAAAAAATGGCACAAAAGCTTTTGAAATTTTTCCCATCATTTCTCCCACAGTTGTGATGTGGAAGGGAAAATGACAAGCACAAGGCGGTTGAAAATGACTCAGACCGGCATTTTCTCACAAGGAATCTGCCCCTCACCGAGGTACTTCACTCCATCTCTTACGAATGTAGGATGGGGTGCAAGGGGCGGTGCATGTGTCGAAAGACAGGAGTAAAATGGACAATCTGCCTGAATCGTAAAACGCTCATGTTGAAGAAGAAACATTCACCACCCCACCCCTTGTCCATTGGAGGAAGAAGAGGAAGACTTCAACAATGAATTGATGATCCAGAAGATGATTCGGTAACGCACGATGAGGGTCAACGACATCAAAGGGTCCGAGAATCATTAGAATAGAATATTCCACAATTGATTTTGGAATTTGGCAAATAAGTATGGTTAAAATTGGTCAACTTTTAAAATTTGGGCGTTCCTCTACAACTTTGATTACAAGAATGTTTTGATAGAACCAGTAGTTTTGACGCTACAAGTGACAGAAAGTGGTCACATTTTAGCGAATATGGAAAAAAATGGTCGTTCTTCAGCTGTCGATTACTACCTTATAAATTAAAGTTGGGGGGGGGGGGGTCAATCGAGGCAGAATTGAACGCTATTTAATTTGTTTCTTGGTATATACCCAACAAACATACATAAACAAGTATAAATTGTGCACAACTGTTGTGCAGATAAAGCGCATTTTTTTAAACCGAAATAGCTTTTGTTTTGACATCACCAATGGATATATTTCTTGCAGACGTCTCAACCGCCCTTTGTGTGTACCCTCTTCCGATAATCCGTTCTTGAGGGATAAGGGAATATATCCGATCACGATAAGAGGTCGAGTAGGAGGAGGGCTATGGTTGGTAGAAATTAATTCCCCCCCCCCCCCCCACTAAAATTAATTTTTAACTTTTGCATCATTTTTATGCAGCACGTATTGCTCTAGCTCATAAAATATGAGGAGTGGGAGAAGGAACTTCTCTTGAAGGAGTTGAATGTAAGTTCGGTTTAGGTTAACCGATTTTCACATCATTGGTCTTATTGGAAAGAGATCTCTTCGTGTAATCAGATTTTACACGAATGGAGTCGTTGTAGTAAATGTGACATATTAACGTTCAACTTGGCAGGTTTTCTTGAAAATTTCCAATGGAATGATACATTTATTATATGATGTTTTCAAATGTGTACCAAAAATTAAAAATATAAGTGAAAACCGCATTTTGATACCTGCCTCTTAAGCAGAGATATGGCGAAAAAACGCACAATTACGAACATAAATTGCAATATTAGATTCTAGTTGGCTTTGAAACAAAAGAAACAATGCCACGTACAAAAACTGAGGAATGCATTACCCACTCTCCTTGAAGCTTGGAATTTTGGAAACCAGGCGAACCATGTATTTTCAACACGATGGGTGCACGGCACATTTCTGGGTAAGTGTGCGACATTATTTGAATTTTCGGTATCGTGGAGAATTGAAAGGAAGAGGAAATATTTTTCTAGGCCAGCTAGATCACCCGACCTAACTTACCTAGGCTTTTTGTGGGGGAGGATAAAGACCTGATCTTTCACTCAAGGCAGGATGTCGTGGCGAGAATTGGACGTGGAATTCATATCATATTTCTGGTATAATTTTCATTGGCGCCATCTTTGATGTCACTTTCTGAGAATGTTTTGAAATATAGAAAAACACCAACTAGAGCAGCGTTCATAAAAATCAATCTCAATCAGAAAATAAAACGATCGCTATGATACTTCGAAAACAGTATAATAGGAAGTTTGAAAAGTAGAAAACTTTTATATCAGAATTGTATTTTAAAACTGTTACCGTCAGGAGTTAAAACAAGAAGTCACAGATATAATTGTATGAGATATAGGTACCAAAAAGTCTGAAAAGAATATTTATAAGAACGTATTTACAAAGCCTTTGGAGTTACTTTGAAAAGAGGAAAACACAATTGCAACGTAAACAATGTGTAAAAAGAAACTCGTATTATACCTTTCAGAGTGACGCTCAGATAATAAAAACGTCGATTTATAAGGTAGACCTAGCTTTGCTTTATACATACTTGTTATAAAGATTCACAGAAACATCAAACCCATTGAACCAAATATAATATCGATACGAAATACTCAGGTTACATTTATTAAGAAATCATAAAATATTTATGGCGGGGATACGGTAAATAAATCTTATTTTGAAGCATCACAATATAATAGATGGGATCATGCAGCATGCTACCTACTTGGAAAAACAGTAATGTAAGAAAAATAGATTTCATTTATAAAACTTACGTAACACAGCATAGCATCGAAATCGCATTACAGCAAATGCTCAATAAAAAACCACTTTCTTGATGTTCTCACTCTTCCAAAGTCCATTGGGATCTGTTTGCACTTCGATTCTTTGCCTTGAAGAGCACTCAGGATATATAAAGTTCTCAATTTACCGCGAGCACACCTTCCGAATTTTTTTATTACATGATCTAGTTGTTAACCGATTTGGGTTGGCTTTGTTGTCGTGAATAGGGAACGAGGTACGTTCCAATTTTATACCGAAATTTAAATTCTTTTCACTAAACGGACTCCAATATTACGTAATTGCAGAAAAATAACGAGATTTGTATACGCTCTACATATATGTAGTTAAACAAACGAACGACCAAAATTGGATTTGCCTCAGCAAATTCTGTAATTATTCTGTTTTGGTGAAATCCAATTATCCAAACGAGTTTGTCACAGCGTCAATAAAAAGTTTAAAAGTCCGGGCTTTGTAGATAAACAAGTACTAAAGCAGTGCGTATTTTACACATGTTACCTTCGACGTATATTTTGGTCGGTTTTGTACTAAATCAGATGTCTCTGTTATACAAAACCTAAATGATTTATTCTTAGCAGCGTACAATGGAATTCTCGACACTTATATCTTGTAAAATTGACGTTATGTGAAAGTTACTATCCATGGAAACCAATGTATCTATCTACATAGGGAAACATAAAAAAACAGGTCCTTACTGTATGAGTGTGTGAACTACTATCCTCATAAAAAATCACTCACAATACCTTCTCTTATTGGTATAAAATCGAGAGGAAACTCCCAACAATGCCGATCAGAACTAAGTTTGATGTCATTCTTTTTATATTAGTTTAAATTCATTTGAAAATTGATATTCTTTGTGTGACTAGAGCTAAGAAATGGGACCATCCATTTGTATTAGTTGTGACCCTTGTAGACATTTCCACAAAGAATTGGCGCTATATGAATTTTGCTCTTAGAAAATGTTATTCGTCTGTGTGGAACGCAATACAAAATCAGTAGTACTAGCAACAAGTATAAATTGTGCACAACTTAAGTTTTCACATCGCCAGTAGATGTGTCGCGTCTAGATCTTTCCACCCCTTGAGAGTACCCTACTGCAACACTCCGTTCTGCAGATGTTCGCAGTGAATGTTTTGACATCATCCGTAGATGTATCTCGTCCAGACGTTCTACTTGCGCCTTTATGAGATTTATCTTGTTTTTGTGAGTACTCTCCTTCGAAAAACCGTTTTCGAGATATATTTGGTCTAAAAGTGTTTCCACCAATGAATATACTCTACTAGATCCATGGTTGGAATTAATTCCTTTCGTTGAGACCTTTAATTAGAATACCATGAAATATAAAATCAATTCCCCCCGTTACCCACTGATCTCGAAAAGGAGTCCCGTAGGAAAAAGTTTGAAGAAATCAATTCATTTCGGTGAGACCTTTTATTAGAATCCATGAAGGGTAGAAGGTGTGTTCATCCCCGCCCCCCCCCCTTCCTCATTTTCAAAAGTTGTACTTGGCACCGACAGAAGTATGCGTATGCACTAAAACTACGCCAGGTAATAGTTTTTACGGGCTCTAGATTCTAGAAGATGACTTCTCCTGTCGCCAGTAAAACTTCAATTACCTCTCTAATAATGTAAAATGCTATTACGCACTCTGCCTGTGTGAACGCGCGCTCAATTGATTTTTTGTTAGTGCTGTTACTGAATCTGATGGATTATTAATAAACCAATTTCGAATTTACGGAACTTATCAAAAGACGTCTAATTATAATTTTACATAATTAACATCTGTTTCGTAATTTGATTTTATGTGATGTCTGCTTTTAATTGCATTTTATTCATAAAATTTTAAAATACCCGAACAAGAGGACAAGAAGCTTTGTGGGAAGTTAGTATTTCAATTTCCTTACAAGTGACAAGATTAATTAATCTTGTATATTACTTGTATATCTTTTCAACGAAAATAATCATTTACTTCTAATAAAGTTTTCAACAATTTTGTAGCGATGTCTGGTATACTCGCTACAATACCTAGTGTGTAGGCACAACAATTATATGCTTACTTGGTAGTGAACACAGTTCAACTTGTTCAATCAAATTTAAAGACAATAATATAAATGAAAAAAATTTAAATAATCACTTGCCATTGTTTCCTATTCTTATAGAACGTATTGTTCTTAACATCACTCCAGAAATACCGTTGTGTAATTGCAATATTATTAATCGAAGCCTTTGTCGTGGTTAGTACATGAAATTACTTCAAAAATCAAATTAAATTACCCATGATATAGCTACGGAATCAAAGTGAGTATGCGTCAAACTATTTTGTGTATGACTCCTTGCATAAAAATTCCGTTAGTGTGATATCTAGGTCAAAATATCTTGGTTTCACTTCAATGTTTAACTCAAAAGACACTTTGGATGCTGGGGCGGCCCTTACTTCGATTTTACTAACAGTAGTGTTATGAATCTGTGTGAATTTGCCCCCCAGGTTCCAAAAATAATTATTTTTTACAGAGCGCCCCGAATACCTTCGTTTGTGCCCCCGCAGTTTTTCAGTTATTTCAAATACAAAATTCCATACTGTCCCCCCTCCATTTTTCAAATTTGACATTTTTTCTTGTGATCGTTTGCGCTTTGTCTGCGCATGTTTGCCCCTCGAATACCTTCGTTTGCGCCCCCGCTATATATTGCGAAGGGTGAAGGCGCTTCGGGAGAGTGCAAATCAAATAAATGTGGGAATTTCTCGTCCATTTTTGTTAAGTTCTACAGAAACAAATAATTTAATTCAGTCTTGTGTGTTTATTAATGGAAAAGGGGTCGGTCGGTAATCAATTAGATATCCACAATTCAATTGAGGTTTTAAGTACATTATTTTTAATATTTTAACATTTGAAATGAGTCATCACGTTTTGAAAATATGATTTGTAAATACACAATAACTTGATTAATTTCTCTGTGCCTGCGGAAAGGAAATAATTTTGTTTCTTGTTTCGAATCGCAATATACAGAAAGGCTGTTCGCAAGTGGGCCCGACGAACGACAATTTAATCAAATATTTAATGTTGAACAATTTTTAATTTAGGTCTACTCGAAGAAAAAATGAATTTCTATTGACTCGGTGTAGCCATTGTTATTCTCGCAAGAAGAAAGAATTGTACACTTTGAAATTTTTAAGAATTATGGAATAGTAGAATTTACGACGTTACTTCTATGGCCGCCAACATGAATTCCAATAAACCAAGTCAATACTTTTACCTGAACAACATTAATGGTAAGCAGCCAAGACGGTAAATTGATAATTGGTGATATTGTTAAAGATTATTCTCTGGAAAGGACAACAAATAATTAAAAAATGTTACAATAGCTGAACAAATGGCAAAGGGTGCATGTTTTCGTTCCGTTTCCGGTTCATTTTTGGTATAAGGGTGTAATTACAAACTGTCCTTATGTTCATGGTGAATAGAAAAATGGGGGGTTTCCATTAAAAGAAATTAAAGTTATTACAAGTTATCGCACTAAATAAAAATAAAAACTAATAAATGCAACATGAAATGAAATGAAATTGATATTTTAATCGAGAGAGTAAATAAAATCTGTATACTGCCACTCTATTCACACTGCTGTTGATAACAAAAATCTAAGACAATAAAAAATGCAAAAATGAATAATCATTTTTAGGCTTTTTATTTCTGGCTACCTCTTTTCTTCATTATTCCTGAAGGGAAACCGCAGAACTTTCGATTTCCTCAAAATTGCGTAAGAAAAATTCATTTGGGAAGTTCCACCACCATCTCATTCATCCAAGTACGCCATAGACGAGTTTGTACCTTACCGGCAGATTCGAGTGAAATTAATCACGATATACCATCTTCACCTTACATGGATTTTGTTTCCCTACACTTCGATAATTGATCACTTTTGTAACTCCGAGAATTCATTTCTGTTAGTTTGATTACATTGTATCCTTCAGATTAGCTGTGTTATTTGAGATATTAGCTAACTTTGCTTTATAAATTAGTTTTTGAAGTTACCGAGACGTTGTCCGAAGCCGACATCTATAATTTTTAGTTATACGTTATTTGTTTTACTCCAAATAATTCGTCCATACTACCTGATTTACATTTTAAATTGATTAGAGCAATATAAATTTAATTATTTGTGTATCGTAGTAGTATGTTTCACTACTAGTCCAGAAAGGAAACCTTTCCCGTGGACGCATGACGTTTCCTGTGTGAGGCGTTGTGCCATTGGTACCAAATCACTCTCTCTGTGGTGAATGACTGGTAATAGTAGAATCAGTGAAAGATCCAGGTGTCATTCTGGACACGAATAACGTCATTATGGCTACATTCTATCAAAAGCAAGCAGTGGCGTGCGTCTACCGAGGCGTCTACAGAACTTAAGAGGGTAACTTTTTTATGGCAAAGCACTATTTTTTGTGAGATATTATTAAAGAATGAACTTATTTTTAATATGACAACATAAAAAAACATGTTCAAATTAGTATCCTAGTATCGTATGGGTGGCACTCCCTAGGTCGCATCAACAACCTTCTGTGTGACTTAACGGCAGTCGTGGTGGGACCGCCAGCTTTACATGCCTTCCAAAGCATGGTAGTCTGGAGATTAGACATTAAATTATGTAATCCTAAGCATCATTAGAATTAAAAATTTAAACCAGCAACTGAAACTTTAACGCAATCCCCGCGAGCAGTTTGAATATCGGAGCCCTAATCGATATAAAACGGAGGTACTCTGAAATGTTTGGTATAAATGTCGAGATAACAGTAAAATATATGTTTATTACCATTTCACTTTTCGAAAAATTACCATGGCTACTAAGAGTGTTTAATGATACAATATTTGGATTTAAAAATTGGTAGATAAGTGAAAGTGCTCAAATGAAATAAACGTAGTGGAAAAAAAATGAAGCCATTTTAATCTTGGCACTTGTCGATGCGAGGTCTCGCCTCACGCAGTAATTGATTAGTGCTCATTATTGCAAAGAAAACGGGCGTGTTCGCGCAAAGCTTTTTAGATGTCGCAATATTTGAAGAGAAGTTAGTCAATGTTTGTTTAAAAAAAACACTCTGTGAACGTCTACGGAAAATTATTCACGTTTTACTAAACAACAAATTCTATGCCATTTTAGTAACTAGGTACCTACGCTAAACCCTTCCATACTACGACACCTTTTCTGTATTCCATTCGTATACCATCTATTTCGCAACATAAATTGGAACGCATCTCCAACATGAAAATGTTTTGC